GATTACTGATTTATTTTAATTTATTTCATTTTAATTCATTTAATTAGACATTATTTACCATGAGCTACAATGAACAATACGTCGTCCACAGCATGTATTGATCTTGGTTCATGTTAATCTCAACATTTACTAATACATTTTTAAGATCAAAAGGTTTATTTGTTAACATCAGTTAATGTACTGTAAAATAACATGAACATTTTATTTACTAACATTAACAAAGGTTAATAAATGCTGTAAAAATATATTGATCATAGTTAGTTCATGTTAACCAATGCACAATAAGTCCTTGATCGCTAATTTGGATCCACCTCTCCATCTCCTTGCCTGCTCACACTGTAACAAATAGCCTTGATTATTATTATTATTTATTCCATTATATTTACAAAAATGTTTGATAGAATTGAATACATTTTACAACACTTATATTAATATATTTAATTATATATATATATACTTAAAGGAAACGTTTAAGTAATTTAAGTAAAATTACTTTAGTTACTTTACCAGTGAAATACTATTGAGTGCTATTTTTCATAGATGCACCAAATGATGCTATTTATCAGCAGATGTGACATTAAAGAACCAATATCCGATTCATTTGAAAAGTTGGAATATGGTCAAAAATAATGTTTTGGTTTTGGTTTGTAGGAATCTATTGAGGATGTGGCAAATTTTGACCCTGACTTCACCCAAGAGGAACCCTGTCTTACACCCATAGAGGACAGCCTTTTCACTTTCCACCAGGATCATTTTAAAGACTTCACTTACACAGCTCCAGAGCTGCGACGGAACCAACATTAGCCAAAGCTTATTTAGATGTTACTTTCCCTTATCAACTCTCTCTAGCGAACGTGTTGTAATAGACTCTGTTGACAGACTTGTTGCCAAGACAAAAATATGGACACGTTTCAAACTTTAGAAGAAGGCAATGCAATATGCTCCACAGCACCATCCAGACCAAAGAATTATTTGTAATGACAATGTCAAGAAGAAAATGATGTTTTCCGAAATGAAATGATGCATTTTTAAGTGGTTTTATCTGCATAAATGTCTGCATAATGAATCTTGCATGTTATTTTTAGAAGTGTATCTATTTCTTACTATGCGTATTCATTGCAGCTTTATAGTAAGCATATGAACAAATTCATTCATCATTGCATTGAGCACTAATTGAGTTGTTATTGAGTCATTGTAATGAGTTAATTTATGTATTGTAAAGTATTGCTAACTAAAGTCTGAGTAATAAACTTGAAAAATCCTTTTGTAACAGATTGTAAAGAACAATTTTGGTTTACCTAAACCACACGTAACACATATCACCTGTCCAGTATTGAATAATGAATCAGGGGATCTGTGGCTTGAGATAGAAACATGAAATTTTCATGAGAAAAACAAAAAAAACATATCCTTTACACCTCAAAGACAAACAGACCTGCAGTCATGTCACAGTTCTCTGTTGGCGTGCAAATCCTCCATGAATTATTTATTATCCTGATTTATTTGTTGTTCTCACAAGCTCACTCTGTATTTGAAGCAGTGTTAATGCACTGATAATGCACAATAGTGCTGTACACCGTGATGGGAATTAATGAGATTAAGATGCTATTATGAACATCAAATATTTAGACTCAGGTCGATTCGACACTGCCAACTCATTTCCATTTCATCAAGTGACCATATAGCATACTACTGGACTAATGGCCCCATCCGTCTGCTTTTTTCCTTTTGATTGTTTATGCTTAAATTCCATGTCTGAAAATTTGGTTGAAGGGATTGGTTTTTGTCTAGTCAAGCATTCTATTGTTAAAAGTGGCTTGGTGAATTACCCAATATGGGGTTTTTTTACACACTTGCCCTAAACCAGTTTAACTGGAAAATCTGTGGCTCTGCCTCGAACACATTTTCTTTGGCATCATGGTCTAGCAGACAATATTAGTGATAGCGAGTTAAATAATGACAAACATGTTTGCACTTCTGAGATAGTGAAGAACATGTATTGGTCTGCTTGTTTATTGTCCAGCTCTTTATTTTCTGGTAATAGGTATATATATATATATATATATGCCAGATTCAAGGAATAATGCGGGTTCAGTACAGGTTAAGATCATCAGTCAACAGCATTTGTGGAATAATGCTAATTGCCAGAGAAAATAATTTTGACTCATTTTCTGTAAAAAAAAAGAAAACAAAAAGAAAATCAAGGTTACGATAAAGCACTTAGAAAGAAAGTGAATGGGGACATTTTTTGGAGGATTTATAAGAAAACATGTAAAGCTCATAATTTTATAAAAGCACATTAATTGTTTTCAAATTTGTGTATTATTTGAGCTGTAAAGTTCTCGTGGATTTTATGATTACGTTGTCATGGCAATAATGTTGTAAAATTTAATATAACTTTACAAAGAATAGATAAGATATTATAAATTTCTTAGCACTAAAGTCATGTAAACATGTATATCATTTACTTTTGTGGCTCTACTATTGAAACAATGAGTATTTTAACATTTATGGATACTTCCATTGTGTTTCACTGTAACCAATGTGATGGTGTGTAAAATGGTTTGACTTTTTTGTTTTTTGACTCATATTTTGACGTAGTCAGGTGCTCTGGTGATTTTCCCAGTTAGGCTTATGGTGTTAAACTGCCAAAAACCAGCCATGTCTGGCTGGGTGGATGCTTCATGACTCAGACCATTCATTGAGTCAGCATTGCTGAGAAGTTCACTGGGTTCCTCTAGCAAGAAATGTGCCAATTGTATTGCATTTATTTTTAAGCAGTTCAAATTTAAAAGTAATGGTTTTGGCAAGCAGACTACACTCTTACTGGAATTGAAACATTTCTCAGCTAATTCAGGGATTTGAATGTTTTCTGCAGTCTTCAGTGGAGTTTGGCTGTTCACATTTCCAACTTCATTTCAAATGCTAATTATTAAAAACAAACATCTTGGTCAGTTACACTGTTACAGTCACTTGCACATGTTACAAAAGATGACGTTACTGGGAAATAAATGAATTATAACAGTGTTTACAGTGTTATTTTGCAGTAAAAGATGAGCTGATTGCTTTTGATGAAACCTTTCCCAACAGCAACCTGATAATTGCTCTAATCTTTCCTGAATTGCAGAGATTTTTAGAGCCTTAAGTCCTTCACCACCCAATTTGACGGGTGAAAGAGTTTAACACCTGCTAAAGTAACTTCTTTTCTTAAAGGTTTGATCAAAGCTATCAGGTGCTGGTAGTCTGAAACTTACAGCAAATTGACACACAAGCTCCAATCCTCTCTTATATCCATATATCTGGATTAAAAACATGTATCACTCTTTATACAGTCAGGTGATCTTATAAATGTTTAAAAAAAAAAAAAACTTCTTTAGAATTTTCAGGACTTCTCCATGGATAATAACTAATTGTATGAGTTCGGTCATGGACAAACAAAACCATTAGATAATTTCAGTTTTCATGGAATACTGCATGGAGCAATTTTTATCTTTAAGTGAATTTGACAGAATTGTGGGCTAAATATTTGCCTTTACATATTAATCTAAACTACCACTTATAAATTAAAAGGACCTGAGGTTACACTTTATTTTAAGGTGACATATTACATTGTACTTACTCAAATAGGCCTAAGTATTGATTAATGTACATGTACTTACTATAGGGTTACGGTTAGGGTTAGGGTTTGGTTTAGGGTTAGTTACTTGTAATTATGCATAATTTACTTTTATTACATGTTGTTACATTTAACTATTACGTCAACTTAAAATAAAGTGTTACCGGACCTGAATATAGGCCTATATCATTTAGATTGGTGATGCTGAAAGTAAATATTAATTGCAAAATTAGGTCTTACCAGCAGTAAGAAATATGCTAACATTAACACACTTGAGGAAACTGTTGAATTTTCTGCAAAACATTTCATCATCAACATCAGTACTTCCCTATACGAGCAGAAATCTTCCACCAAGAGCAATAATGAAACAGTAAGTTGGCAATATTAGTGTCCACAACAATGCACACCATCTTTCTGTTTAATATGTCATATAGTCTACCTCTTTAAATGCTTGGGTGAATTCTGATGGTCTGTTAATGCTTTTATCATTCATCAGGTGAAAAAAAAATCATTTTTGTCAGTGTTCATAGGATTTATTTAAATATTTTAATTATATTTTAATGAGTGAAGGAATGTAACCTGTCTTTATTGTGTGCATTTTAAAATAAAGATAGGCTATATAAAGCAAGATTTGTCAAGAAAGTTTTTGTTGGCTTGACAAATCTTATCTGACCATTTAAAATACTTTTAAAAGTTAAAAGCTTTTACAGTGCTGTACAGTCAGATATATTACCAGGGTGTTGCTAGGTGGTTGCAAGAGTGTTCTGGTTACCAGTATGTTCACTGTAAAAAAAAATCTGCCTTACATTTTTAAGTGCAATCAACTTGGATGTTTAAGTCACATTAAACTGACTTAAAATTTTGTTGAATCTCATATAACTTTGATTTTTTTATTTGGATGAGTTCAACCAATGTAAAAACGTTGTCAACTTATTGATCATATACTTTTTTACAGTGTTGTTCAATAGATGCTAGATGGCTGGTGTTTTGGCTGGTCGTTTATTAGCTACTATTTTAACTATTTTGGTTGTTAAGAGTGTTCTGGCTGGCTTCTATGTGTTCTGTGGTTCTTTCCAGGCAATGTTAAGGTCTTCTTGATGTAATTATTTGGAAAACAATTGTCTTCAGTTACCTGATCATTATTATAATCTCAAAAAAAGAATTATAAAATATTGGACTTTTTATAGCCTACTACACATGAAAGAAAAAAATTGGTTGTATCCAGGATAAGCAAATAATTTTAAGTTACTCGATCTGTGGTCAAATCAATAGTGGTGATTACATCACACCGTGGGGGTCGACTGAACTGCTTGGATTGATGAAAGAGTTTTTGATGCGACACTGCCGTCTGTGCGCGCTCCCGCCAGCGCCTCGTGAACGCGCGAGCCACATAGAGAGAGTAGTAGGAGGCACGGCTAACTCTTTGTACCGACCAGAAGCTGCACCGATTGGGTGCCAGACAAATGATTTGACCTTCAGCGAACCGGAGGGTTGATCTCTACCGTTCTGACGCTTTCAACACAACATACCGGACTCGAAGTGGATAATTTTATCGCGTTTGCTCGTTTTATTTTAGAGACATTTTTATTTGTTAGCAAGAGGTGGCCACGTCCTTGATTTTCTGGCCTCGCGGTTTGGAAAAACCTAACACATAGTGAGTGGTTTTACCCAGGAATGGATACTGGAGTTGTCACTGAAAAGAAAAGGTAGGGATTCCCGTTTCTGTTTTATAGAAAGTGGTTGCTGAGCGGATTTTGTTATGTCTATGTAGATAACAGACAGACAGATCTTCGTCACACCGAATGTGTCGCCATTTTGTGTTGGATGGCAAACCTAACATTTCTGAGCAAGTTTAAAGCGCTCATGCCGGCTAACTTATTTGTTTTTAAAAGCCTATTAAATACTTTACAAAAAAATAAAGAGTTATATTTGATGATTTGTAACGCAATATTTGGCTTAATTTGAGGTAGCAGAGTGTCTGTCTGTGGAAATAGGGAAATAGGCTAATAAAGTAATAACTGTTAGCGGTAACTTATGCTAACTGATTTATGGCTTAAACCGTAAAGAGTTTATATATTAGTTGTATTAGTATAGACATATTTCAGTTTCATTGGGAGTGCATAAACAAGCTGATTATATACGTTAGGCATATACATCTTTGAGCACTAATGTCAAATGAATGCCTGCAATAAGCACAAAATACATGCTCCGCTTCTTTTCCCATAGTGAAATGATCAGACAGCTGTAAAGTTAATATACGTCTATTATACTAGAGGAGAAGGTAAATGGTATAATCTTTGTTCTTAGTTCAGTGGTTTGTACTTGGTATTGTGTACTTAAGCTCTGAATGTTTTGATGCCGTTTATTTGTGAGATAAAAGAGGCATGTGCTAGTAATATGATTGATCCCTTCTTCACCCCTCAAACCACTTGACCCCAAGGGTCACACTAACTCGTTGCCCTCGTTCAGCCAGCTCGTCTGGCATATTTGTTGATATAGGACTGGAAGCTGGAATTCATCCTTGGGTTCTGCTGACAGTGTCTTATTCTTTGTCAGGCCTGTCATCAGTGTGGGCTCAAATTTTAGATGAGATGGAAAGAAGTGTTCTCATTGCTAAGTCTGGAAATAGTTGCATTGTTTTTCTGTACTAGTGAAGTAGTTAAGCTAAGATCCAGTCACAGTGTGCCACCATTTATTTTATGTTATGGTGTCAATTTGACCCTTTTTGATGTACTGGTTGATGAACTTATGATTTATATAGATATAATATTGTTACTTTTCCTCATTTAGGTTCATTAACATGGCTGCAAAGTGTCGTGGAATGTGTGTACAACATTTCTATTAAGATTTTGATATCTCATCATTAGATCCAACTGTACGGACCCTTAATAAACTTTTTTGGGGGATATATATATATATATATATATATATTAGTCTTTCATATCTACCCTCTTTATATTTTATTCATTTGGAAGATGCTTTTATCCAAAGAAACTTACACTGCATTACATCATTCAGTTCGTTGGAAATCTCATGATCTTGGTATTGCTTGCAACTTGCTCTATTGTTTGAGCTTCAGAAATAGCACACAGAACTGCTTTTTCATGTTTCTTCTGTTTAAAATGTTAAACAGTTTTTTTTTAAAGTTCAAAAGTAGCTACAGTGCTCTTTATAATATTAATTATATTATTAATATTTTTTTTTGTAATGTGTGAAGGAATATTAATGTTAAAGGTTTGCTGTTTTTAGTCATACTCATAATTTGATTTTTGGTGGATAGTATTCAATCCTATTAGTGTCAATTTGACCCAGATTTTTTGAACATAATCTCATTTTTTATTTTTTAGTTAAACCAATACTGTGTGATAGGCCCCATATAAAGTGAATAATACCCTGTTTTCAGTGGCAATATTTTCCTGACATAAGTTTGGTTGGCATCCAAGTTCAAGCAACTACATGCTCTTCTCTCAAATCTTAATCACTCTCAGCATTGACGTCAATGCAACTTCCTGCCCAGTCTTGTGGCAAGACAGCTGCAAGTCCTCTATCAGTTTGAATATTAAAATGGGTCCCTCTTATCATATTTTCTTGTTTTGGAGAAGGGCTGGGCATTAAAACGATAATTATTATCGTGATGTAATTTTCCTCGATAAAACGATAAATGTTAGAAATAATGTTTAATTATAAACTATAATTTTTTTGGCCACACAGCCCAGCCCTTTTTTGTATGTTTTTAAAATCCTCGGGTCAAAGGGATGTCTATTGATTCAGTCATTGTGTCTCAAGGTCTTATATGTGATCTCTATATGAGTCCAATTCGACTGGGAATCATATCATAAAACAGACCACCTTTTAGACTGGCATCATTTTTGGTTTACTGATTAGTGGTCAACAAGGTATTTTTAGGACCTCAAAAGCCCTGTTCTTATGGTTGGTAGGATTAGGCCTAATATACGTTATACACCATAAAGGCCTACAGTATGCTGAGCAGTTAGGGCGTACAAAGAAACCTGTATATCTTCCATACCAACTAGTCAGTAATTTGCATTATGAAGTCGCAATTGCGTGTTATAAAGTCAGAATTGCAAGAATAAACTGTCAATTCTAAGGAAAAAAGTCAGAATTGTGAGATAAATTGGCAATTCTAAGGAAAAAAGTCAGAATTGTGAATTTATATCTCACAATTCTGACTTTTTTCCTTAGAATTGCCAATTTATATCTCACAATATCTTATATCTTCAGACTTTTTTTCCTCAGGTGTGCTAATTTATATCTCGCAATTCTGACTTTTTTTCTGTCTATATTATACCATTTAAATATGTTCTGACTGTCAGAGCTGATAGTCTTGCAGTGCTTCGAGAGAGTTTGGGTGTGCTTCGGGCGACCTGAGTTCGAGTCGCAGCTCGGGGTCCTTTCTTGATCTCAGTTAGAGATGTGAAGGTGAGGAGTTTTCCCCTCTTTTTCCACCTCGCTTTTACTGTACGGTGCGTGTCCACTGGCGCAGAGCTGAGTGTGCGAGCGTTTTCAATTAATTCCTCTGGAAGCTCTGGAACTTCCATAGGAATGAACTGAAAACGCTTGCTCTGCTCGCTTCGCACCAGTGGACACACACCATAATGATCTCCTGTGTGGATTTTATTAGTGGCAATTCGGGGGCTGCAATTGCTTGAATGGTGGGTTCATTATTAATCTTAATGAAAAACAACAACAAAACAGTACAATGACAAACTCGCTTAAATAGGCACTTTTACATTTCACTAGTTTGAAACCAAATCTTCCACAACCGTTTTGTCAGGCAAGAGTTTGCACACACATCTGACACATATTTTCTCAACTCTTTACTTTAATTTAAGACTTCATTTAACTCATTTGATTTATGCCACATGCTTTCTATGCGCACGAGCCGTGTGTGTCACACCGACAGGAGATTCACAGACGCGTGCCAGTACTGCACTGCATTCTCTCTTGTGTCTTATCGCGCTTGAATGGTTCAAAAGCATTTGCATGTATAAGAGTGTGTTCATATATTGACGCGCTAGCCAAAGGATGATCGAGGAAAAAAAATGGATGCAGCGTTAATTGCATCAAATATTTTTTTACGCGTTAAACTGAAAAATATGTATCTCATGCGTTAATATGTTAATTTGTTGACATGTTAATAATGTTAAAATAATGTTGAATAACAATGTATTATTCTTTATTCAGTTCTATGCAATAGAAGCAGATTTAACAGATTTATTTGTTGTCATTTTTTTTGTCAAAACTTCTGTAAAAAAAATAACAATATAAAATGCGCTACGGTCTGATTAGCTGATGATGGGCTAATGAATATTAATCACTCAACGTTGTCTGCATTCGCTCAAACTGATTAAAACGGGGACAGTAATAGGTGAGTGCTAGCCAATGAAATTTCAATTTGCGCGTTAGTTCCGCCCACTACCGAAGAAATCGGCAGTGGCTTTTGCTTGCTTAAAGACTGAACTTAGTTATTTTAACAGGAAAATACAACAAAGAGTATAATTTACATATAGCGTGTAAATTCACACTAGAGTTTAACGTTGCATCAAATATGCTGCGCATCCATCGAGATGAATTGGAATAGTATGAAACTCTCAAGTGCTCAGTCAGAGTGTTCAGCGAGTGAAAATATGTGTTAAACTTACACTTAGCCTCCAACTCAAACACTGGCGGGTGAAATCTAACATTTTATTAGCCAATGGCTAATGATGATAGACATTATTTAGTTGCCTAGCATGAAAATTTAGCTCCATATGCAAGTGATTTACTTGCATTGTAGAGGATTGACTGGGCTTGCGATTCACATGGGTAGGGTACTTTAATTAAAAAAGAAATCAAATGGGCAATTAAGTTTTACCAGTCATTATAAACATGAGAAGCTGGTGATTGCTTTGGCAAATAGACAGAGAGAATACAGCAAATTAAATTTGCATCAACAACAAATGCCGTATCAGAACATGACGCAAGGTTATTATCAGTTTGCTTTATTTGCCATCTTGTCATCATGATGAGAAACACCTGTTTCAAAGGAAACTATTGTATTGTTCTCTTCGTATTGTGTTTTAAAACCATACAATGCAACCTCATACTTATGCATTTACAGTTAAGTTAAAAAGCTTTCCTTTGCCAAAGGGGTCTTCCAGCTACTATGAAAACAGTCAGAAATGTAGACATATGTAAGTTCCATATATGGACTTCTTAATAATAAAAGACAACCATGTACTGCGCACAGACACAAACAGGCTGAAAACTGCAATGAAATGTGCATATGAACATCTCCTGTGTACTAGAGCTGGGCGATTTTTTTTTTTCCCTAAAAAAAATCTGCGATTTAAATTTTTTTTTTTATAAAAAACTCGATTTACGATTCGATTTGATTTTTTTTTTTAAATCAAGTAGAATTTCTATAACTCTGTGTGTTGAACTGATAATCACTCGTTTGTGTGTTAAACACAATCTACTTAATACAGACAACTTCATTATAAATAAAAACAACAAATCCAAAAAATATATGATCATAATCTATGACAAAAATGTAGGGATGCACGATATAGGATTTTGGCCGATATTCGATATGCCGATATTTTCAAACTAATTTTGCCCGATGCCGATATCGATATATTTGTATTTTTTTTTAAGTGCAAAAAAAGCTTATTAAAGCTTCTATTAATGTTCTCAGTCAAGAGCA